GCTATATGTGTGTGTGGGGGGGGGGGGAGGGTTATCACTTCTATATGGGTCAAGGATAGTCCTACCATTTTCAAATTGTGGGCATGAGTGCTAGAGCTATTATCTCAGACATTTTATGCCCAGATAAATCAAATACTAATGATATCACTTAATTGTACCAATAATATACTTATGTTACATCACCCAGAAAAATATTATTGTAAAAAGGAACGGATTTAAAAAAAATGGTTCGCAATCATATATGCATGCAGGGGATCAATATTTTGCTTCAAAGTTCTATGAAGAGTTTGTGGCTCATGCCTCATTACAATTAGAAGAAGAAAATCTTGTCATCTGTAGGAGGGCGCTAGCACTTTGCGAAGTTATACCTTCGAGATTCATTCTCAAATAAAATTTGGAAGTGCAAAACCAGATCTAACAGTAGTCACAGTACAACTCCAGCCTCCTCGTTTGTTAACTTGCCGTTGTTCTGATGTAGATTTGGCATCAGCCTCTCTAGCAGAAGGAAAATCCATGTCAATAATAGACTTTGAAAACTCAAAGTACAAACTAAATGAAATCCTTCTCAAGTGTGTTTCTGCTTCCACAATAATAATAAAGAATTCTACTTAAATGAGTGTCAAAAGGGATACTTATTGTAGATTACATGAGGAGCCAATAACAGTTTTTGCCTAATAGAAAACAACAGGTAGAGAATCTTGTGCCAATAAAATCAATCCTTGGTGATTCAGAAATGGACGATGAACTACACGTAGATTAAACTAAACACTACTTCGAATTTTGAACTGATCCTAGACTACCAGTGTGACACTTGATGTTGGTTGTGTTGCCAAAGTTACAATAGACCTGCTGCTACATTGGTACTCCACATAAACAAAGTCAATCATTGCTGCTAAACTGGTAATCCACATGAACAAAATCAATCAGCCATTTACCAAATTTAACTCTGAATTGTAAGTGCGCGAAGGACACAGAACCTACTACGAAAACATAAGTGTTGAGTCATCAAATTCATACAACTTAGTCTAAGGTGATAAGAGTAATGGTAAGTAGCCATTGCTGGGAGATGTGATTTATTGTTGCATACTGCATTGTACATGAACATTTTACAAATGCTTATAATATATAAACATCAATTTATATATATCTACATGGGAGCATTTCAAAAAACACATGGTGAGCATGAGTGTCGCACAAACCTACAACTTCCTAGATTTCCATGTCTCATGCATGGTGGTGGGCAGAAGCTGTAGCATCTTAATCCTTAGCTTGGGGGCCCTGGTCATGGACGACCCTGCTGGCCAGGGGGCAAGGGGGCAATGGCCAGCAGCACCCATGTAAACCTGTAGCTTTCCATCAAGGCGCCTCTCATGCCAACTACAATAGCAAATTTTACAGAGTTGGAAGCGGGTAGTGGAGGCTTACTCACATCAATCGGAAAAAAGGACAGAGGACATAGGATCTTGATGATGGGTGGCTGGGACCGAGGACGAGCCTGGACGACCTGAGGCAGCAGCACAATAGCTCCATCGTGCTGGTGTCCGGCCGTTGGTCCCTGGCACCACGGTAAGAAGGCAGGAAGGAGAGGGAGCTCCAAAAGGGCGACGGCGACCCGAGATCCCTCGCGTCGGCAGGGCCGTCGACCTTCACGAACCATAAGTGATGGAGAAGCAACATAGTAGTACAGGTCAGTGTTTGAACAGATACTACTGAAATATGCCTCGAGAATCCAAAGAAAATAAGACATTGCCAAACAACATATATAGGTTGACAGCACATAGGGACGTATTCAGGAAATCAAGCATGTGCTTTTCTTAGAGCTAGTAAATTAGTGATGTTATTCTTCGTACCAAAATTCTGATTAGCAAAAGTATTGGACTACCTGAGAAAATGGAGAGTGTTTAACAAATAGCAGCATTATACATGTAATTTAATAAACATATGTTGCAACAGCATTGCTTCTCATAGCGTCACTAGATTGGTGCATGCGCTTAGTTAGATAGTGGCGGTGTTTGTCTGTCTTTCAATCAGTATATGGGAAATGCTTACAATTAGCATGAAGGGAAATACTCACGTCAAAATCCCATTCACTATAGAGGTCAGGATCATCTACATTCCCCCATATGTATGCATAGGCCATCATTGTATCTGCCGAATCCTGCAAATCCGAAGTACTCAATCCTCTTTCCGTGGAACAGTCTAGTGAAGAATTTCTCTCTAAGTGCCAAATGAAAAGTGGTCTTTCATGATAGAACAAAACCAATTGATAGCAGTTCTATCCGCGTGCCCCAAAACAGAAGGCTCAATCATGAAAAGGGCTGTCAGGATAACTGATTTGAACTAAACATTTCACTGAATTTTGCAGGTCGGCATGAATCCGGCTACCATGAGCTGAAGCAGAGACCTAGGCCGACGAATGGACTTACGGTCAGTGAGATGCCAACAGCTTCCCTCACATACTCTTCATCTTCAAATGTGTCCAGCACATCGAACTCCCCATCAGTGACCGCCTTCCAAACATGCAGCGTAGACACATGAACAGATTGTCACTCGTTCTGCACTTCAACCGTTCCATACTGACAGTACTCGCCATTGTTCACATCTTAACTTCAGTGGACAAACTAAGAAATTAACACCAAGTATACGGGATGTGTGTGCGTGGGATTGCACACACCTTTCTAGGGACTTTGTTGCCATCGACAGTTAGCATCGCCGGGTAGACGCGGCCCCTGATGTTGAGCCTCTGGCTGCAACAAAAGCAACATGAGAATAGCGACAGGGGATGCAGAGGGAGAGGGAGAACACGTGATGAACACCGGGAGGAGTGGACACTCACCTGGGCAAGAACCACCGCGAAGGACATCCCCGGCGACAGTGCGAGGTCCTGCACGTCGTCATCGGCGCCCTTGCCATCGCCTTCGCCGCCCTCTCCTCTCCGAGCGAAGAACAGTCGCCGCCGCCGCCGCAATGAATCCCCTTCCGCGGTCGGGAGCACTGGGAGGCTGAGTCGGTCGAGGACGCGGAGGAGGAGGCCCTGTCGGCCTCCGGGGAGTCACCGGCGACGTGGGCGGCCCCGTCCATTGAAAGAGGGCATGCTGGAGTTGAAGCCCTGCCGCTGGACCTCCTCCCGCGCCTTGTAGATCACCTCCATGTCCTCCCCGGAACATAATCCGGCCCCTACCTTGCCTCCTCGACCGGATCTGGCCAAAGATTGCCGCCGCCGCGCCCGGCATCGTCTGCATCGCAGCCCCATCTCACTCGGAACCGGCGAGGAACACCGCCACCATGTACTTGGAGTTGAAGCTCCACCGCTGGACCTCCTCCCGCGCCTCCTAGATCGCCCCGGCCTTGCCTCCTCGATCGGATCTCGCCGAAGATCGCAGCCCACGCGCCGGGCACCGTTTGCATCGCGGCCAGCCTCAACCTCCAGCTCGTCTCGCTTGCCAGCAACCGAATAACAAAATACAAGGTCCTTTTTGTAAGAACGACGTATATCATATATCCACTTAAAAATGGATTGCAGATTGAATACCAGAAACAATAGGGAATATTTTGCAAAATTGCTAGCGACGACGGACGACCAGAAACCCAATTTTCTTATGTAAAGAAAAATGATGTGGGGGCACCCATGAAGTTTATGTGGCTTGGTTGCATGGCTACGAAAGGTTAGAGAAAAATAAATAAATAATGTGTTTAGAGTGCACTCCACTAAATAGATATACTTTGGATCCATTGCAACGCACGGGCCGGCACATCTATATCTATACCCCCTATATAGTGTGTGAATAACTTTGAAAGTTGTTCGTTGGATGAAGCCAATCCGACGGTACAAAGATGTCAAATCCGAGCACTACTGGCCGTTGGATATCATCTACATTCCACCAGATTCTGCCACATGTAGAATCTAGAAGACTCCATGGTTGAACTTAGGGTTTGTTTGGTTCATGACTAACTTTGCCACAACTAAGCTTAGGCAAAGTGTGTCTGCCACAACAAATGTGGCTAACAAAATGGCCACCACAAGTGTGGAAAGATTTGGCAAGAAGTTGAGTCTATGGCATGTGGACCATATAGCTAGAAAAGTGTGGCAAGCCACAAGTGTAGCAATGAACCAAACACATGCCTAAGATATTGTGGCACGCCTAAGCTTAGGCGTGACAACCTTAGGCTGCAAACCAAACATCTATACCCCTATATGATGTCTGAATAACTTTGAAAGTTGGTCATTGGATGAAGCCAATCTGACGGTACAAAGATGGCAAATCCGAGCACTACTGGCCATTGGATATCATCTGCGTTCCACCAGATTCTGCCACATGTAGAATCTAGAAGACTCCATGGTTGAACTTAGGGTCTGTTTGGTTCATGACTAACTTTGCCACAACTAAGCTTAGGCAAAGTGTGTCTGCCACAAAAAGTGTGGCTAACAAAATGGCCACCAATTGTATGGCAAAGTGTGGCACTCCTAGGCCTAGAACCAAACAGCCCAAAGTGTGGCAAGAAGTTGAGTCTATAACATGTGGACCATGTAGCTAAAAAAGTGTGGCAAGCCACAAGTGTGGCAATGAACCAAACACATGCCTAAGATATTGTGGCACGCCTAAGCTTAGGCATGGCAACCTTAGGCTGCAAACCAAACAGGCCCTTAAGTATAATGCACAAACCACCAGAATCTCATGCATGCAATGCACATGTACCTTCCTAGTTGGTAGTAGTAAGAAACAAATTCTGGGTTTGGCACAAGCTCATACTGTCGGAGCACCACAAGGCCTGCCGCGGGAGTTACATTTCCCTCTCGGGGCCCACGGGGCCGAGCTTCAGTGGCTTAGTGCACCGGCCTATGAGTCAATGACATGCGGACCTTAAATGCGGCTGGCCCACATCTCATTCTCATGGTGGTGGCGTGGTTCGCGACTCACTCATTCGAGATGAACCGGCTGATAGTGGCGTGGCCGTGGCGAGGGTGCCACAGCAGGGCGTCAAGGCATTACAAGGCGTAGATGGCCACACCAGCGGGTACTACCTTTAGTACAGAAGTACTCTAGCCGAGGATTGATGCCCGGGATGAAATATGTCACAGCCGCTGGATGAAAATTCGATGGTGCAGGAGTACGGATCGGAGCACATCAACGGAGCAGGAAAACCGCGTCCAATCGGGTAAAGTTGATGGTCGTCGCAGTTCAGCTGGCCCGCATGTCATGCACACAAAGGCAGAGGAGCGGTGGGGCTGAGAGGGATGAGGCGCACATCGGGGGGGTGAAGATCCCCTGATGTGAACAATCCTACCATTGGGTCACTGACATGTGGGTCCTCCCAAGCGTGGGCCCCACCTGTCAGCGAAGGAAAGGCAGGGTAAGGCAGTGATAGCCACGTTAGAGGATCCATGTCCACGTTGGGGGACGTCGTGCCATGGGTTGGAGCGGTATTGTGGGAACCGCGTGTGGGTGTGGCAGTGGTAGAAACAAGAAACGTGATGGTCGCCGTGGTTTAACTTCCATGGACAAGCTGTCATGTCTGCTGACACATGTATATCAAAACTAGAGTGTTTATATTTCAAGCACGTGAACAAGTATTATTCTACTACTTTGGATCACTTCCATGGACAAGTTGTCATGTCTGCTAACACATGTATATCAAAACTAGAGTGTTTATATTTCAAGCACGTGAACACGTATTATTCTACTACTTTGGATCCATTGCAACGCATGGGCCAGCACATTGGTAGTAGTAGTCTCTATCTCTATCTCTAGAGGCTTTCCCTCATTCATCCTTTTCTATCACAAGATAAACTACTCATACAAATGCATCTTGATGTTCCATGGAATGCATGAGGATGTTTCTTTGGGGGTCTCTCCAGCGCGGCGTGGCCGTAGTTGCAAGTTGACGCCCCTTGAGATGCCGACGTTGAGGGGCACTCGGATTTCCTCCGATGAGCAGGTAAGATGAGTTTGATCACGTAGTAAATGCATCCCAAAGACTACTTCCGTGTCCATTTCCTAATTCCCCCCTACCCACTGTTTCACAGGTTAGGTTCGGTGCGAGTGGAGATTGGCTTGCATATGTACGGGAGGGTACCAACATCAATTTGCACAACATTTACAACGGTGACACCGCTCCTATAGAACCTTTGTCCAACATTGGGATCAACCATGCAACGGGCCACCGCATGAATTGGTACGATGGAACCACGGTGAGATTGAAGAAGATAGCACGAACCTTGCACATGGGGGTCAAAGGTGGACCATGTTGTGTGCGGCTGATTTGTTGCCGCACGAGTATGAAGACGCTGTGCTCCTTTCTAACCGTATATTCACGGTGACAAACCAGGGGACTTGTTTCGTATGGGACACATCCTATGGTATACTCCCTCTCTCCCAGTTTATTTGTTTTGATTCTTTTTGTTTTATAAGTTTCAAATTCAAAATTAGAGCTCCCCATCACATGTTGAGATTACGATGTCCATTAAATCATTGTGTGCATGTATAGTAAAGAAACAAATCTTGAGTTTGGCACGAGTTCGTGTAGCGGTAGAACCACAAGGCCTGGTGCAAGAGTTACATTTCCCTCTCGGGGCCCTCGGGACTGAGCTTCGGCGCCTTACAACATCTGCCTTTGAGTCAATAACATGTGGACTCGATAGGTGGCTGGTCCACATGTAATGCTCCCGAAGGCAGAGGGCAGTGGGTCCAAGAGGGGTGAGCCGCAGGTCGGGAGACGTGTGGTGTCATGGGTTCGAGCGGCATCATGGGAATCATGTGTGGCTATGGTATAAACTTGATGCTTGTCGCATTTAAGGTGACCCACATGTCATGCACACAAAGGCAGAGGGGCGATGCGGCCAAGAGGGGTGAGGCGCACGTCGGGGGACGTGGTGCGGTGGGTTGGAGCAACGTCATGGGAATCGCGAGTGGCAGTGGATGAAATGTGATGGTCGCCGTAGTTGAACTTCCATGGACAAGCTGTCATGTCTACGGACACATGCATTGCATACCGATCACTGGAAGGAGTAGTAGAGAAAGCTAGGCGGATAAATAGTTCCTTATAGTCAAGCGGACCCACGCTACTACTTGTTCCAAAGACATGCCCACCATCGAAATAGTCCATCTATATCAATATACACCAAGAGGGAATAATTTTTTTTACAAGAGAGGAAATAGTTCATCCATCATAATGCCTTGCTGCTGGTGCAACCTCTTCTTCTTCTTCTTCTTCTTCTTCTTCTTCTTCTTCTTCTTCTTGTTCTCATTTTCTGTGGGATACGGCTTCGCAACAAGCTCTTTGGACCTTGCAGCTATCTCGAAACTCACATGGGCATCAAGGGCAGCATATTTTATTCGCTCGTACGTCAAGGGATAATTCTCCCATCCAGACGACCTTAATGCCAGCGTCTCGTCACCCTTCTGAAGATTTGTACCGAGAACAAAATTTGCTACTTCGAATAGGGAGGGTGTCTGTTTATCACAATCTTCTACATGAATTTTGATTCTGGTTTGTAGGTCAGCGAGGTTGCCCCACAAATCAAGGTTGTACGGCACCAACTTCTGTTTGTCCCCTTCGACGGCTGCCCCACAGAAGTATATGTCCTCCCGAGACAAGAAATCATGAAGCTCACCTGGTATGGAGGGCGCGTGTATGATGTGGTACACCAAAACATCATCTTCAAGGCACAACTGAAGGATGGCGGCGCGTTGGATCTTCCCAGTGGCACGCTCCGTGTACTCTGTGTCGAGACCGATGACCCTCATCTCAACCTTTTCGAGGGAGTTGGATACATTGTTGATCCACTTCCGAACAACCCTTGGGTGGACGGTGACGGTGGCAACTATGCTCAACGAGCCTTCGACGAGGACATGTTGGACGCTAAAAACATGCATCTCGATCTCTTTCGCCATTTGGAACCGCTAGAACGGAGGGCTATGGTTTGGAGAATTAGGATTAGATGGCTAGTCTAACTGAAGTAGATGATTATTTAAAGGGGCTTCGGAATTACTCCAGGAGTATGTGAAGAGGTTAAAACAATGTGAACGCAGTGGGGTTTGGATGCAAATGAAGACGAAGGGGAGGTGAAGAAGCCGAGGAAA